ATAAATAAACATGACGATCTTTGAGAATCTTGAAAATTCCTAATTGACTTAACATGAATACAAAAACTTCTACGGACCTTTAGGCTTAATGGAGAAAGGCATCAAAAAGTGCTGAGTTAATGGCCTATTAGCTTCCGGGCTCAATTCAAAGTGCTGGTGTTAACCTATAAAGCCCTAAATGGTTCTGGCCCATTTTACCTGTCCAGGGAGGCCCTGCTCTTGGTCCCACTGCCTTCACAGTCGAGTTTGGTGGGGACAAGAGACAGGGCCTTCTCCATGGTGACCCCTTGGTTGTGGAACCCCTCCCCAATCAGGCTAGATTTGCCCCCCCCCCCTCCTGACCATCTGGAAGAAACTTAGATCCTGGTTATGGGCTCAAGCATTCACAGAAGAGTTGCTTTACTGGGAAAGACAAGCTTTTATTCGACCGTACTTGGACTGCTTTGGACAACAATTTTAATTCTGGTGATTTTAATCCTGGTGAGCGGATTTTAATGTGTATTTATAACTATGCTAATTGTATGGTTGTAATTATGTGTTTTATAATTGAACTGTTGCCTGTTTGGAAGCTTTCGGAGGTCAAGAAGGATGGGGTATAAATGTTTTAAATAATAATAAATAACATTGTGAGGCATCAGGAGGAGCAGAATTCATATCCCCATTAGGCAACTGAACTATAGATACATGGATACAATAGGTGTGTATCTGCATCTGTACAGTACAACCTTCATAGTCATAGACAATTCAACCCTAAACTTACTGTGGAAACAGGAAACCTTGGATATTACAGAACTCTATTGAAATGAGTGACTTCCACCAGATGTTACCATGGAGTTGCGCTGAAGAACCTACCAAATTCCTTGAGCTGTATCCTCTCTAGGAATTTACTAGATCCTCCAAAGTGACTCTGTAATTTCCAGTGGAAGCATACCACAGAATTGCATGGAAGAACTAGAAAATTCCTTGGGAGGGCACATTTCATCAGATGTGGGTTGGTGAAACTCTGGATACTGATACCGTGGATATGGGGGTCATGTTGTACTAGCTCTGCTCTGAAAGCACTACAGCATGCAAATCTCAGTTATTCGGTCAGGCCACTTCTCTTTTGTCACCAGACAGGGAGATAATTTGGATCCATTTATGCACACATTTGCATACCTAGCAGGATGAAGTCTTATAGATTCTCATTTGAGAGTAAGCATTCTGAATAAACAAAGTTTCAGGCAGTTCCAAGGGTGATTTTATAAAGGGAAATATGCAATATAATTATTCCCCTGTACACATGAGTGAACATGGGGGAAAAATCTTGTGAAGTAGTAGTTACTGAAAATAACTAAAGACATGATGCACAGGGTAGATTTCTTCAGGGTAGATATGTGAGAGAGGACAGAGATCCCCGAGTAACATAGCACTGTCTATATAAAATTGGTGGGAACTCCCTATTATATACCGAGAGAGGGAAAGGAAGGTGGGAGGGATAGTATGTATTATTTTGCCCAAGCATTTTTCCATGGGAGTCAAATGGGAGTCATATGGTGAAAATTTCACTTTTTATATTTGTATTCTAGTCTTCTGACAAAAGGAGTCCTTGCAATGAAATCTCATCTATACTGCAGACTTAAAGCAATCTTCCTCTATTTCCAGAAAATGATGGAATTGTATTTGAAAGGAGTTATTCTCCCAGGATTCTCTGGGGACTAAAGCATCATAAAAGTGATATGCATTTGTTATGCAGCAAGGCTTTGGCCTGCAACCAGTAACTATTCAGCAGGAATACAGTGATATAATTTTAGTGAGAAGCAAATTTCAGGAAAAGGTAGAAATATTGAAGTGAACCAAAAACATGTGTTTTGTTAAGTAAGCCTCGCATATACAAGGCATGGACCATTATTCTCTAAGGTAAGAATGTCAACATTTAACAATTTATTTTTAATTTATTAATCATTCAGATTAATAATTTTCATATTTTTCTCCCTGCTAAAGAGAAAGATTTTTGTTCTTGCATTCACACATCTGAAAGTGTTTGGGGATAAATGTTCTGTACAAAATAACACCTATATTTTGCATTAAAATAGTTGTTTGTGCTTTAACTCAAAAAAAAGTTTCCAAAAATTTATTTATTTATTTACTCTATTTTTATCCTACCTTTCCCTATCTCGAAGGAGACTCAAGGTGTCTTTTACAAATGGCAACTATTTGATGCCTTTAGAGAACAAACAATTAAATACATTTACATTGAAATGTAAAAATTAAAAATTTTAAAATTAGAGTTAAAATGCAGTTGAAAACATATAAACATTATAATCACTATTATAACTTTGTTTTCTAGTTAAATTAGCGATTTTACACAAAATGTTGTGTTTCTCAAAATGGAATTTTATGAAAAAAAATGTGATTTTCTGCAACCACTCACCCATCTGTTGTGCACAATTGCACATTTTCTTTTTTTCAAAATGCTGAGAAATTTGTCTAGGATATTGGGGATGGGGGGAGGGAATCTCACAAAAATAAGTTTTATTTGCTTACAAAAAAATTCCCCATATTTATATCATCACATAATAATTTCTTGAAACATTTCAGGTTGTGATTAATGAGGAAAACCTGTGCAAGCTTCTTGCCTCTGTGACATCATACTAGAATGAGAGATTTGGTATCCTAAAGATCTTATGTTATGACTTTAAATAAATCAAATTTATAAAGCAGTTTACATGAACATTGGTTTCCTCATGCCTGTATTGACCCCGAGTTTGAAGATGCAGTATGACATGCACATCCCATCCACAGAGGATATGTTCCTGAACTTACCATAGAAATAGGAAAATGTGGATAATAGCAAACACACCAAAAGAGTTGGATCAGCATGTTTAAAGGTTCCCAGCAACGGTTACTAACATGCTCAATGAACCATTCACAAAGTGTGTGCAAAAAAAAAAAAAATCGAAGGCTTACAAGTAAGTCAATGTTCTGCTTCCCCAGGCTACATTATATCTTTCTCCTCAGAATAGGTGCCCTACTCCAAGGATTAAAAACACACACAAAAAACGTAATTAAATTGGGTGTTATTTCCAATTATTCAGCATCAGAGCCCTCAGTGGTGCAATGGGTTAAATCCTTGTGCTGGCAGGATTGCTGACTGAATCCAGGGAGAGCAGGTTGAGCTCCCTCTGTCAGCTACAGCTCCCCATGCAGGGACATGAGGGAAGCCCCCCACAAGGATGGTAAAACATCAAACATCTGGGCATCCCCTGAGCAACTTCCTTGCAGACAGCCAATTCTCTCACACCAGAAGCAACTTGCAGTTTCTCAAGTCACTCCTGACATGAAAAAAAGGCAGCAGCAATCTGAGTTTATCTGAAAGCCCAGGTACATCTGAACTGTGAGATCAATGCATCTTAACACCACTTTGCCTGCCAATGGCTCAAAGCTATGCATTCCTGGGAATTGTAGTTTGAAGCACTAGTACTCTTTGGCAAAGGAGTCTAGAGACCTTATAAAATTATAACTTCCAGGATTCCATAGCTTTGAGCCTGATAAGTGGTGTCAAACTGCATTCCTTCTATAGTGTAGATCAGGCATGGGCAAACTTCAGCCCTTCAGGTGTTTTAGACTTCAACTCCCACAATCCCCAACAGCCCACCGGCTAGGCCTGGGCGGTTTCGTTCGTTAATTTTGTAATTCGTTAAATATTCGCTATTTTTAGCAATTGCAAAATGAATACAAAACATTTTTTCAAACCCAGAAGGGTTTTTCAATAACGAAACGGCATCCTCCATCCTTTTTACGAGCTTCCGCCTGTTTTGGAAATGGGATGGAGGATGCTGGTGCCTGGGAGCCAATCCGGCGCTCCCAAGCACCCAAGAAGTGCACCGTGGCTGATTTTGATTGGCCGGGAAGCCCTTTAAAAGCAGCTCCACGTGGCCGCTTCGCTCATTGTTGCGGAGGCGAGGGAGAAGGGAGGTCCGGGAGGGCGGCTTGCATTGGCTTGCATTGGCTTGGCTTAGTTGGCTAAGCTGGATTTCCTTGCATTGATTCCTTAATTCTGTTGTTGGGAGAGCGAGGGCAGTTTTTGTTAATTTGTTAATTTTCCATTTTTAAATATTTTTGAAAAATACCTTCCTTTTATTCTTAAAAAAAATCAAAAAATATTCTAAAAAAAGGAAAGAATCTTGTGTGCCTGTGTGTGTGTTTCCCCCTGTCTTGTGGCTGTTGGCTCCACAGCGAGGGAGAGCATTTTGTTAATTTTCCATTTTTAAATATTTTTGAAAAATACCTTTCTTTTATTCTTAAAAAAAATCAAAAAATATTCTAAAAAAAGGAAAGAATCTTGTGTGCCTGTGTGTGCGTTTGTCATTTGTGTAGTTCCAACCAGTGCGCTCCTTTTGCCAACAGAAAGTGCTATAATACAGTGCTCGCTCATTATTTGTGTAGTTCCAACCAGTGCGCTCCTTTTGCCAACACAAAGTGCTATATAATATAATACAGTGCAATTAGCACGAATAACGAAATTTCGTAAATGCCTTTTGCGCATGCGCCAACGCGGGCGCCATCTTAACGAATCGATTCGTTATTAACGATGTATACAAATAACGAAATTTCGTAAATGCTTTGCGCATGCGCCAATGCGGGCGCCATCTTAACGAATCGATTCGTAAATATTTACGAAATTTCGTAAATACCGAAATTTTTTAAGGGAAAAATTTGTAATTATTTTAAATATCGAAACAAAAAACCCCCCAATTACAAATCGATTTTAGAAACAAATTTTTCCGTTGTTACCCAGGCCTACCACCGGCTGTTAGGAACTGTGAGAGTTGAAGTCCAAAACATCTGGAGGGCTGTAGTTTGCCCATGCCTGGTGCAGATGCATCCCCAGTCAAGATTTTCAGATTCATATTGCTCTCCAGTCAAAGAAATGTGCTATGTTTGCTCTTTCTAATAAAAGTGGGCCAGTCACAAAAATGGATAGTTATTTTCAACACTGAAAAGATCCGACACACATAAATAGAAAAAATAACATTTTTATTTACAAAAAATTCCAAATATTGGATGCTGTAAACAAAATTCACAATCTGTTCCCTCTAGCACAGAAGCAAATGCTTTTTGTTGGTTAAAAGTGTCTGTTTTCCATCTGCTCTTTGTTTCAACCGCCAACAGAACCCGGAGTCTGAACGTTCCTAAAGACGCAGTCAAGGGAGCAGTTTGGTGCAGCAGGATGTCTCTCTGAAGACAACAGTTGTGTGGAATTTAAAGGAAAACAAAATCAGCATCACTTCCCACAGACTGCAAGAATTTGTGGCACTACCTCCAACCCGGTCCTGAAGTCTGTAGGCTTTTCTGATGTTTAACTAGTTGCAAAAATAGCAAACAGCAAAACCTGTACATGGATTTTGGATTTTCTCCATTGCAGTGAAAACAGGAAGCCATACCAAAAAACAAAAAAAGTAAAAACAAAGAACAAAAGTGCTGGATATGTCATTTAGATAGATATATATTCCTTTCACTATTCTTTTTTCCATATTTTTTTCTCTCATAAACCATTTAAAGCTTTCTCTCAATTGGTAAGAGTCTTCAAAATAATACAACTTGCAAATAAAGCATATTACAACAGGCATTATAAGCTGTGCATGAAATTTTGTGCAATACCTAGCAGCAAATAAGTTTTAAAGCATTTAAATCAAGAGTTACGGAGCTAGCATTTTTTTCCTCGCCTCCCATTTTTCTTCTTTATTTTTGCATATTGCAGATTACATATATATATATATAGAACCACTCTATTTGTCTGAACGGAATGATCCAGAGCAGAAAAGGTTTTTGATAAAGGAGAGTGATATTTACATGGATGCAAAGGAGGTTTGCAATCACTTTGGATCTACACAGGGTATATGGAAAAATAGGAATTTATGAATAACCAACACTAAAATGATTGTGAATTCTACTGTATTGTAAAAACAAGCCTGGCATCCCTTCCCTTCCTCCCCACAACTCCAATAGTATGAAAACTAATTCAGATTCTTCTTGGTTCACAATTCATCAGGAGAAACAGAAATAATTTGATTGTATCCGAGACATCTTACATTAGATCAGCATTGGGAAAGAAAGCCTTGTTTCATGAAATCATATTTTAAATTTAATTCTGCTGCGTTAATACTGAAGGATTCTACATGGTATCAAGTCCTTTACTTCTTCAATTTTGTTATTTTTGTTTTGAGAAATTACTCCTTGTGGGAGACATATAGCTGAGCTCCATAAAGTGGGGGGTTTAGGCGTGTGCTCTTATTTTCATTCTGACCTGAAATCATGGCTTCATTTCTCTACTAACATCAAACCACTTTCTCTTAAAGCAACCAGCTACTTAAAAACAAAGACTCCATGAGATTGAGCACAAGAGCATATGTAAAAACTACCAACAAAATTACTATTGGACCAAAGAGAGAGAGAATACCAATCTGATCAAGAGAACCCAATTAGAGGGGAAGGAGGACTGTAATCCCAAAGTCACAACACTAATTATTTGGGTTTGTTTTAAGAAAAGATGGAAAAACCTGCTCTGAAGGAAAATGTATAACGTATTATCAGCATTTTGTGGCTGTGGCACAAGAGATTCCCAAACCCGTTTCAGTAGTGGATGACTCACTGATTTGCAACAAAATAGCTGTGGTGAGAAAGGACATACCGCGTTACCAGCTGATCCTATTTCCCCAACCTTCAGCTTGGCTTCCTCACCAATAAGCCCTCCAAACAACCAGAGGCTAAACTCTTGGTTTGGATAAAGTACTGTCTCCCTCTCAGCTTTGCTGCTATGGTAGGGCAAGACTCCCAGGAGCAAACATTTCATGTTCACAACTGAGCACGGAGCACTATGTGCATCTGCAGGATAGACATACATACAGTGTGTGTGTGTGTATGCATGTGGGTGAGTCTCTGTGTGTGAGTGTACATCTCATGCCACGGTTAGCAAGCATCAAGAGGACACAGTGCAAAAGTGATGACATGGGGCTTCCACAGTCAGCGCAATGACTGATCCCTTGAAAAATTCACATAGGAGGGGACTGAGTAAACAAACTGAGATTCTGCTAAACTTTGCTTCAGACATAAAAGGGATGGTAAAAATTGGAGGGAATGTCTATAATTGAAAGTGAGTACAGGGGAAATATATGGCCAGGGCTGCAATTGAATAAGGGGGTACTAAAATACCTGTTTTTAGCAATTTATCAATCCCCTCACTTTAAATATTTGATGCTCTTTTAAACATGTTGTTGCCTGCACTGCATATGCACTACTGTCTTATTTGATTCTAAAGTGGTGGGTGGCATGGGTAATTTTTTTTTCAGTTCAGTGCTATAACATTTATTTTTTTCCTTTTTCACTCCCAGTACAACAATTTCCCTGATCTGTCTCTTGAGAAAAAGGAAATTAAATTTGATTATTTGTTCCAATGCAAAATTGCTTCATTTTAAATAAGGTACAGTACTATCCTGGCAAATGCAGTGTGACAACCAGAGCAAAGTTGTTTAATTTTTGCATAATATATAATATACATTTTAAACATCTATTCAATGTTCTTCATAATGGTTCACATTTACTCACTTCTAGTGGTCTTGGAATGCACTGTGCATTCGGCTAGATTAAAATATATATTAATATTGGGTATTCAGACGAGAGGCTAAAGCTATATTCTTTAGCTATCAGGATGGGTGTCTGTTTGAACCATATCGCAGCAGGCATCTAACACACCATAGAGGTATGCAGTCACAAAAATAAGCGAGTTAAGTCGCAAAACCATATTACAGTACAAGTTTAGAGGAAAAAGGTGACTTTTTTGTCCAGACATAAAGCTGCTTTAGGCCACAAGTCAGGCAATGAATTAGCATTAAAATGTGTTCTTGCAACCAAAGCCAATCCAAATTTATATATGACTAGCTAGTTTACCCCCATATTCTGACGCAGGGGAATGACTCTCTCTGCAAAGTGCCCACGGTACTCTAACATCCTGTTGCAGACTGGAAAACATATTTTATTTTATGTAAAACATTCCTTAAAGTTGCTACATTTTCCTAGACAATATTTAAAAGGTGTGTGTATATATACAAATAACATGTTACATACACACTCATACACACAAATAAACACGCACATACAGACGCGTACCTGTGATAATATCACACCAACAATATAAACTTTATATAGGTATTTGCCAGGAAAAAATAGGCATTTCCTCCACCATTTATTCACAAGCTTATTTTTAGTTTCTTGTGTCCCTGATTTTAAAAAAATGCAAAGTTAAACCACAAAACTATATTTTTCTCACTTCAAATTTTCTGAAGGCATCAGGCACTTTTGTCTAACATTTGTGTGTACAAATATAGTAATCTCTCCCCTCTCCCCTTTTTTTCTCTTTTTGTAATAGTTTACTGTGTTCTTTGCTTAGTTAACTTATCTGTGAAATCTTTGGTCCTGAAGCATATGTTGCTTGCTACAGCTGTTTTTTTGTTTTATTTTTTGCTTTTCCACATTTTTTTTAAAAAAAATGTGAAGCATGCACACAGCTGGAACTAATGAAATTTGCTATCACCCTGCATGCTGTCTTCCTTATCTCTTTCTTTTAAAAAAATTATAACTGTACCCATCTATTCCTTTCTTGAAAGCAAGTTGTTTCTCTCAAAGCATTCTATTCAAGCAAGCTATACATTCTGTGGGTTCATTCCACTTGACAGCATTGAAATGCATGGCCAAAGGGCAGTAATTCCAAAATATACCTTATTCCAACACATTTCTTGTGTGAGGCCACTAATGTTAGATTCCTGCACATGGATTTAGCTCCTTTCCTGTGCTCCTATTCTTCCCCCTCTTTTTTGTTTTTTAAGATTCCAGCTTTCACTATGCCATAGCTATGGGAGCAGGTGTTTTCTACCCATATTGTCATCAAGCATTCCTCCTTGGTTTATTTCAAAGGGGATCTGTTTGCTTTTCATGACAGGCCTTTTTGTTCTGGGGTGGAATCCAATAAGCTTTTGGTTCCTTTCTGTATCATGCTCTGTCACATTAAGTAAGAGAATCAATAGCTTCCCTTTTAGCTCAGAAGCCAGAGCAGACCCACCACTACACAGAAACCACCCCATTTTCAAAAGGGAAGTGGCACCCTCCCTCTTAATTGGCTTGAGAGAAAACACATTCCCCCTCAAGTCCATCAAAAGCTGTTAATTACAGGGCAACCAAGTGGAGTATGTGTGCTGCTGGCACGGGAACATTGGCTGAACCTGGGCAATGTAGTAGTTGCTGAAGTTGGCATCTGCTACGTATGGGGCTGGCTGGTAGTAGCAAGTGACATTGGCCACGTTGGGGATGATGTTTTGCTCGGCCAGAACCCGGATGGCCAGCATGGTGATCAGATTTAAAGTCTGTCTCCTTTCATGTCCCATCAGGCACACCGTGCTTTCATTCACCACCCCGTGGAGGGTCATGAGATAGTCATACTTGCGATCCTCCAGCCCCACAAAGTGGTTCTGCAAGTATGACTCCAACTTCCGTTGCTGCTCCCCAATGTCTGAAAAGTCAATGAAAAACCTCGAGCACATGTATCTCTGGAGAGACTTCATCTCCGATTCGGAGTCAGCCCTGAAGCCTCTTACGAGGAGATTGCAGTACTTCAGCAGACCACCTCCCCTGATCTCTTCTGGATTTCTGGTGGCAATGATCTTGTTGCAAAGGTGATCAAAGGCTTCTTGGAAATCCCCGTAAACGCTCTCCCCAATGATAGTTGGGTGGAAAGTTTCGGTCATTGGGTTTTCAGAACATTCATAGAACAAGAGGAGAGAATCTAGCTTGATCTGGAAAGAATCAACACTGAACTCGAACTGCCTCCTCAGAGAGTCCACAAACTTCAGCTCCACATTTTTTCCACTGTTGTTGGACAAGGAGATAAGACTCCATCGGTCTGAATCATTGCACACTTTCACCATTTTCTGCACATAGGCCTCCTACAATTTGGAACATATGAAGAGTAGAGAAAAAGGAGAGAAAGAGAGAAGCAGATGAGGAAACCGGGAAAAGCACATCTCTATGGAGCCTTCATTTGCATCTGATCCCAGCTCCACCCTGCCCCCAGCTTGCAGTCCATCCATTTACAGAACCCAGGCATAAGAAAGAGACACTGTAGACAGATTTAGTGTGTGGTTTTGCAGACATGCAGCTGCGGAGCTCCAAAGGGAGAGGGAGTGCGCATGGCATGGCAACTACACAAAGGGCATATTCTGTAAGGATTTTATTAAGGTTTTCTTCTAAAGAGATGGAATTGGCACATCCACATGTGCAGACAAAGCACCAAAGAAAAGGCTCTCTTTGCAGGATTGCAATTAAATGTAGCATTTGCGCAAAAGGAAGCACTGCCAAATTCTTGTACTGTTCAAAATCAATAACTGATTCTCAGTTAAAATGGGAAGGATATGCACATATATTCTGAGACGGTCTTGGCACCATACATTTCTCTTTCTCCAAACCACAAACAATCCTGAACTTAACAGCTGATGGTCTTGAGATGGCGCCTTGTTGAAGTCAGTGGGACAAAAAAAAAACCAGCAGCCCCATTTTTAAAAAAATCAGTTTTCCCCTATTAACAGGCACTTGGTTATAAAGACTTATCACTAGCTGGGCTGGACAGATATTACAGTCCAACACCTCAGGGAGGAAATCAGGACCAACATGTACAGCACCGAGGGCCATATGCAGAAGCACTGGGGGGAAACGCCTGTGGAAACCAAGGAATGCACACAAGACTTTCAAAATATTAACCTAAATGGAGGGACAGAGTTCTTTCAGAAAGATAAATCCAGCCTTTGCATTCCAGTTGTGGGAGAAATTAAAAGAAAACAAGGGAGCACCGTTTCCCTCTAGCGGTGCCTTCCTTCCACCCAGTCAAACACCAGCCGAGTGCAATTAAGACAACAGAAGTCTAAGGCAGAAGCAGAACTCCATTAATTTAAATCTGGGGGTTTATTTGAGTGAAGGATCACACTGCAATTCAAAAGTTTTGGGGCTCTCTTTCCTCTCCATGGGCAAATGTGTACGGGGCTGCTTATTAACATACATATCTGGGCCATTCCAAGCTTAAGGAGGGGGGTTTCCTATCATTAATCTGGCTCATTAAGAGCAGGAGGATGGCAGGGGGCACGGAAGAGGATATGAAATGGAAAACATTTCAACGTTTGCATTTTTTTGTTTTAGGTGTGAGCCAAAGTATGGGCAATCTCACATGAAATCACATTCTCTTCTTTCCTGGATCCTTGTCAGCTAACAGGAATCTTACCAAGAATAAGTGCAACAGTTCCTTTGACCCTGTTGATTCAACACATCTACTTGAGCTGGAACTAACCCTAGCCAGGATCAAGACCAGTTGGAGAATGAGAAAGGGGGCTGTGGTGCCTGTATGTGCATCACCTGCCTGTCCTTTTTTATTTTTATCTATAGCATTAATCCTGCCCATTAACAGCAGGGGGGAGGGAGACAAGCGGAGGGTAAGAAAGAGAAATTATTTCAACAATTTAATACTACTTTATTATTGCAAGTCTAAAGCAGCCGTGTTCTCTCCCTTCTTGAATCCTTGTTAGCTAAGAAAAATCTTAGGGTGCATTTGCACTGTAGTATAAATGTAGCTTGGCACCATTTTAACCACCATGGCTCAATGCCATGAAAGCCAGGGATTCGTAGTTTGGTGAGGCATCAACACTCTTTGGCACAGAAGGCAAAAGACATTATAAATATGACAACTCTGAGAATCGCATAATATTAAGCCACTGTGATTAAAGTGATGTCAAACTACATTCGTTCTACAGTGCAGACACAACCTTATTGGGAACAGAGCAGAGGTATTACAGCAGCTTCACCATCAATACCAGTCACTTTGGGATTAAGTCTGCTGCATAGTTGCAGGAAGAGGAAGTAGTCTTACTTAGGCCCCTTCCACACAGGTAAATAAAATCCCACATTATCCACTTTAAATATATGGCAGTATGGACTCAGGGCCCTTCCACACAGCCATAAGACCCAGAATACCAAGGCAGAAAATACCACAATATTTGCTTTGAACTGGGATATCTGAGTCCACACTGCCAGATAATGTGGGATTTTATTCAGCTGTGTGGAAGGGGGCTGAGACAGCCCAGTTCAAAGCAGATATTGTGGGATTTTCCACCTTGATATTCTGAGTTATATGGCTGTGTGGAAGGGCCCTGGGAGTCCTGGCTAAAGTAAAGCCCAGGAATCAAAGCAACAGTTGCATAAACCCCACTGATTCAACTGGAAATAACCCTAGGGCCTTTTCTTATGGTTGCAGAGAGAAGAAAGAGCTCTTCTCTTTTCCTACTCTGTGTGTGTGTGTGTGTGTGTGTGTGTGTGTGAGAGAGAGAGAGAGAGAGAGAGAGAGATTGTTTGGGTACACCCCTCTGATTCAACAGGTCTACTCTAACTGGAACTAACCCTAGGACCTTTTCTTATGGTTGCAGAGAGAAAAAAGAGGTAGCTCTTCTCCTTTCATACTGTGTGTGTGTGTGTGTGTGTGTGTGAGAGAGAGAGAGAGAGAGAGAGAGAAATTGTTTGTATGCAGCCCTCTGAGTCAACAGGTCTCTAGCTTGAAGCAACCTTAGGATACCCTTTTATAGTTGCAAGGACTGACCAAGAGAGGGAAAAGGGGAGCTGTTCTCCTTCCATACTCTGTGTGTGTGTGTGTGTGTGTGTGTGTGTGAGAGAGAGAGAGAGAGAGATTGGTTGAAATTGTTTGTGTAAACCTCTCTGATTCAACAAGCCGACTCAGGCTGGAAGAAACCCAGGATCCCCTTTTATAGGACCTCTTCTCCTTCCAATTTCAATGTATATGCATGTGTGTGTATATATGTTTGTGCATGTGTATGTGGTCTATTCTGGCTAAAACTAACCCTAAGATATTTTCTTATGGCTGCAAGATGAAGAAAGGAGTTCTTCTTCCAGCTAGTACACGTGTGTATATATTTATGTGTCCAGTCTGATTTTTTTTTTTACCTCCATTGCAATATGGGGAAGAGCATGTGTTTGTGTGTGTGCACAATCTACACCGACCTATAATGCAGTTAGACTGCATTATATGTCAATGAGACAACAATGCATACACATATATAAGATGTTGACAACATTGAACTGCATGATATAGAGCGGCACCATATCCTGAGCAACCTTGGGCCTTCCAGGTGTTTTGGACTTCAACTCCCACCATTCCTAACAGCCTCAGCCTCAGGCTTAAGCGGCTGAGGGGGGAAAGGAAGGGGCCTGAGGCTGTTAGGAATGGTGGGAGTTGAAGTCCAAAACACCTGGAAGGCCCAAGGTTGCCCATGACTGGGCCACACTGATCCTATAAACAAAGGGAGGTGAGAAATCCTCAGTGGAGACCCCTTTCCCTTCCTAGGGGGAGGTTCCTCTCCCTTCCTGTTGCCTCAGGCGGTGGGAGAGGCTGCTGCCTGTGCCTGTGGGGGTTTACCTTGAGGGTGAGCGGGGTGATCTTCTCCTTGCTGACGCCCTCGGGGAGGAAGTCGAGGAGGCAGTCGAGCACGACCTCCTTGACGGTCTGGAACTCGGCCTCGCCCTTGAGGTCGGCGCAGAAGATGAGGTCGAGGTCCTTGTAGCCCAGGCCGCTGTCCTGGTGGAGGACGTGGCTGGCGGCCGAGCCGTTGAGGCGCACGTCCCGCACGCCGATGCGCCGCTCCTCCAGCCGGCCCCGCACCGCGTCCACGATCCGCCGCGGCTGCACCGAGAGCGTGGGGAAGTTCCCGCGCCCGTGGATCGGGATGGGCTCGCCCAGCAGCCGGTCCAGGCGCTGCACTTGCGCCCAGCTCAGCACGCTGCAACGCCGCCCGCCTTCCACGCCGCAGCAGCAGCACCCGCAGGACGAGGACGAAGAGGAGGACGGGGAGGAAGGCGAAGCGGGAGGAGGAGGAGGAGGAAGAAGGGGCGGCGAGCCGTCGCTGGGGCTGGGGAGGGGGCTTGCCTCGTCCGCCATGCTCCGGGGTCTGACTCCGGCGTCAAACTCTCCTCCTTTCCACAAATCAACACCAATCCCTTCCTCTTTGACTCCTTTATTCCTGGCAGAAGGGAGAAGAGAGAAGGGAAGGGAAAGCCATCAGCAGCGATAAAGAGAGGAAAACACTTCTGAGAATCGCCCCCACCTGCACTGCCATGCACATGCCAGATTATCTGGATTTGAACCGGATTATAGGAGTCTCCACTAACATATAATCAGGCTCACATCAGATAATATGCAGAAAACACCTTTGAGAACCCCCCCATCTACACTGCCATGCACAATCCAGATTACCTGATTTGAACCGGATTATATGAGTCTACACTGGCATATAATCCAACTCAAATCAGATCATCTGGAGAAAACACTTTGAAAATCGCCCCCATCTGCACTGCTATGGACAATCCAGATTACCTGAATTGAACCGGATTATGAGAGTCTTCACTGGCATAAAATCCGGCTCAAACCAGATAATCTGGAGAAAACACCTTTGAGAATCGCCCCAATCTACACTGCCATGCACCTGATTTGAACTGGATTATATGAGTCTATACCTACATATAACCCGGCTCAAATAAAATAATCTGGATTTTGTGTTGTTGAAGGTTTTCATGGCCGGAATCATTGGGCTGCTGAGAGTTTTCCGGGCTGTCTGACCATGTTCCAGAAGCATTCTCTCCTGACGTTTCGCCCACATCTATAGCAAGCATACTCAGGTTGTGAGGTCTGTTGGGAAATAGGCAAGTGGGGTTGCCTCTGCAAAAAAGGATCCCTCCAGATAGCAACAGCCAGGCTTTGAAGCTGCAAGGCTATTCAATGTTAATCATGGTGGCCAATTGCAACATTCACAGTAACCTCCAACAGATAGTTCTTTCTCCCACCTTGGACATTCTACAGATCTATAAACCCCACTTGCCTAGTTTCCAACAGACCTTACAAACTCTGGGGATGCCTGGCCATGTTCCAGAGAAAGCTTCTGGAACATGGCCAGACAACCCGGAAAACTCACAGCAACCCAGATTCCGGCCATGAAAGCCTTCAACAACACAAAATCCAGAGTATTTGACTTGAGCTGGATTATATACCAGTGTAGACTCATATAATCCAGTTCAATCCAGATCTGGCAGTCTAGGGGCCCTTCAGATAGGCCGTATATCCCAGGATCTGATCCCACAGGTTTTTTGCTTATCCCAGATTATCTGGCAGTGTGGACTCAAATAATCCGGTTTAAAGCAGAAAACCTGGGATCTGATCCTGGGATAGAAGGCCTGTCTGGAAAGATGGAGCCTAAGGCTTCCTTTTGCAGTTCGGCCCCCTCTTTTTACAGCCCGATAGTTTTACAAAGTCTCTACTTAGCCTTCTCTGCAGCTACACATCCCAGGATGCCTTCGCCACTCGCATTCCTCTCCACCCACGCGTTTAAGAGTCCTCCACTCGGGATCCTCTACATCACGATTCCTTAGCAAAGTGGGATCTAACTGCATTTGGCAACCCACTAAGCCAGAATGCAGTGTAACCGCATACTACCAATACAGTTCAGACTGCATTATATGGCTCTACCTATGCTGACCATATCATGCAGTTTAGGCTGCCTAATATGCCAGTGGCGATCCTAGGTTTGCATTCTCCAGACTGGAGAAGGAATTGCAGCTGGACGCCACTTCAAAGCCTTTGCGTCCAGAGTTTCCTCCGCAAACAGCGTTAGCATTCCTTCCTTTAGTTACGAGAATACACTAGGAAAGCGTACTAGAGGCGCATCCATGCTATAATTAACACAACTTCAGTTTCGGTGGCTCAAGGCTATGGAATCACGACTTGTAGCTTCATGGGATCTTTCTCCTCCGACATCAAAGTGCGTTGATGCCTCAGCAAAGTATAATTTTGTACGATGCCATAGCCATAGCTGGTGTCAAACTTCATGAACCCTACAGGATGTCCAGTACAAACAAACAAACATATGCTTTCTTTCCCCTTGCTAATTAACCCCCCCCCCCTTCGTATACCATTTCCACCTGTATACACACCCGCTTTCGATCTGGATCAGCACGAATGAAAGGCAAACCTGGGAGAGATGTCTTTATGGAGCCATGGTCCTACTGCCCTCCTCCGCCTTCCAAGTCTCGCTTCCCTTCTGAAGCTTTGCGCCTCAGTAGTTTGTTATAAGGCGTCCCTGGCTTTTCCGGGGAGAGCCCAGCACACCCTCCCCTGGCCACGCCTCCTCATCTGCATACGGGGCGTGGTTTCGCCCCGAGCTCGGCCTGTCTCCCTCTCCCGGCACGCCCACTCATTTGCATAAACAGCTGGGTTCCTTTCCCCTTTAGAGTCGCTTCCTCCTTCTTTTCTTCATCCTTTGCCAAAGGTTTTTTCCCCCTTTATTTAAAGGCTCACTTCTGGATCTCAGGACTGGATCTTGCTAGAACTTCCTAGAGGGAGCGGGAAAGACCTGGAGAAGGGGGAAAACTGTTCCCCCCCACTCTCTCTCTATATATATTACATATATTACTTTTTTTAGGAGTACATCCGGAATGAGAGCAGCGGGGGCGAGCGTTATGTCAGCAGCGTGAGGAACATTCTTTGGCTTTCCCTGCTGAGTGGAGGCTTTGGGACTCTGTCCAGCCCAAAGGGGAGGGCTGCATTTGCATGGCTTGCAAGGGGGAAGCTTGGGAAACCGCTTGTGGAGTCCCCATGTTGGTGGCAAACACTGGGTTGCTGTGAGTTTTCCGGGCTGTCTGGCCATGTTCCAGGACCGTTCTCTCCGCTCCTGACGTTTCGCCCACACATTTATGGCAGGCATTCCACAAATATATAAACCCTTAGGCAAGCGGGGTTTATATATCTGTGGATTGTCCAGGGTGAGAGGAAGGATTCCATAGGCAGGAAGTAGCCAGGCTTTGCAGCTGCAAGGCCATTCAATGCTAAGCAAGGTGACCAATTGCAACATTCACACCTGCCTCAAGCAGACAAGAGTTCTTTCTCCCACCCTAGACATTCCACAGATATATAAACCCTTAGGCAAGTGGGGTTTATATATCTGTGGAATGTCCAGGGTGGGAGGAAGGATTTCCCCAGACAGGAAGCAGACAGGCTTTGCAGCTGCAAGGCCATTCAGTGCTAATCAAGGCGACCATTTGCAACAGTCACACCTGTCTCAAGCAGACAAGAGTTCTTTCTCCCACCCTGGACATTCCACAGACATATAAACCCCACTTGCCTTTTTTCCAACTGACTTCACAACCTCTGAACCTCTGCCATCATTGATGTGGGCGAAACGTCAGGAGAGAATGCTGTATGGAACATGGCCATACAGCTCCGAAAACTCTCAGCAACCCTATACATATTCACACACACACACACACACACGTGATCATAAGGACGAAGATCCAATCTAGGGTGCATCTCCACTGAAAAATAAACCCAGCTTGGTACCCTTTAACTGCCTAGACTCAAGGCTACGGGATCCTGGAAGTCGTAGTTCTCGGTGAGGCACCAACTAACTTTGGCAGAGAAGACTTTATCAAACCACAACTCCCAGGATTCCAGAACCTTGAAGTGTGGCCAAACTGCATTCATTCTACAGTCTAGATGCACCCCCCCCCCCGTGTCTTAGTTTGAACCCCACTTTCACTGCCCTGGCTCCATGCTATGGCATCCTGAGATCCATGGTTTGGTGAGGCACCAGCACTCTCTGGTAAAGGCTTGTGAAACTACAACTCCCAGGATTCCACACCATGGAGCCTGGACAGTCGAAGTGGAAGCAAACTGCAATAATTCTAAAGCAAGCCTGGGCAAACTTAGACCCTTCCTCCAGGTGTTTTGGACTTCAACTCCCACAATTCTTAACAGCCTCACGCCCTTTCCTTTTCCGCCTTATGTGGCTGAGGGGGGAAAGGAAGGGGCCTGAGGCTGTTAGGAGTTGAAGTCCAAAACACCTGGAGGAAGGGCCCAAGTTTGCCCGGGTCAGTTCTACAGCGTTGATGCCCTCTAAGAAAGGGAAGCCTTTTGTGGATTTCTGCAACCAACCTTCCTCCCTTCCTCTCTCTCTAGTCTGATCGCTAAAGCTCCCCCTTCACACCTTTGTGTCCTTCTTTAATTAGATTGTAAACAAACCGGGAGGCGTGTTGTTGTTCCTTCTTCTACAGTATCTCTAAGCGCCATTTACAGTGATGTCTCAGATAGACAGGTAGGTAGATGGTAGATACAGGTTTGTAGGTATATAGATCAAGAGAAAATAAGAGCAGTCCATACACTAACCCACCACCATCAACGGGATAGACGGAGAAGGAGAGGGAGGGGGGAAGGGAGGGAGCAAGGGACGAAGGAAGGAAGGAGGAAAGAAGGAAAGGGAGGGAGGGAGAGAGGGAGGGAGGAGGAAAGAGAAGGAAAGACGGAAGGAGGAGGAAGGAAGGAAGGAAAGAAAGAAGGAAGGAAGGAGGGAGAGAAAGAATGAAGGAAGGAGGAAGGAGCGAAAGGAGGAGGAAGGAAAGAAGAAAGGAAGGAGGAAGGAAAGAAAGAAAGAAGGAAGGAGGAGGAAGAAAGGAAAGAAAGGTGGGAGGGAGGGAATCCGTGATGGCGTAGTTAGTTGCTGCCTTTGCAGAGGGAGAATCCATCGGGAGCAGACTTTCACTTCCTTTGGGAAGATTGAGGAAACCCACAAAAGCGCCTGGCGAAACCCAAAGACTAGGTTTGGGGGCCAGAATTAGACACCACAAGGGCAAGGGAAGAGAGTAACTCCGGGTGCATCTACGCCCTGGAATTAATGCAGTTTGACACCACTTTGTGTGCCATGGAGTCCTGGGAGCTGTAGTTTCGCCAGGTTTTGAGCCTTCCGTGCCAAAGAGGGAACCTAACCCTAAACAAACGACACGTCCCGGGATCCTTGAGCCCTGAAAGTGGCGACAAACTGCACCCCGAGGATAAGAAGTTATTCCCTTTTTATTCCTGCTAGACTAATAGGAAGGAAAGAGAGTTAACAGAAAAACATTGCATCCCAAGGAGAAGTTGGGAATACAGACCAAAAGAGGAAAGCAAGGAGGTGGCGACCAACTCACTCTGTGCCTCTGCCCTTTGGGGGCTGGCTTCCTTCCTTCCTTCTTTCCTTCTGCAGCGCCTTTCTGTCTTTCCTTGTGTCTGTCTTTCTCCGGTGCGTCACCGCCTGCCAGCAACCTGAGAGCAGAGCCCGGCGCGCGCCTAATTCCTCTTTATAGGACTGGCTCCTGGCTAGGTGCGCAAGCCTCGCGAGGCACGGCAGGGGGAGGCGGGAGGGAATCCAGGAG